GGGGGGGAGAGGGGCTATTTTGAAAAACTGGCTCAGCCGAAACCAGTTTGGCTCAGTGGATAGAGCGTCGGCCTGCAGACTCAAGGGTCCCAGGTTTGATTCCGGTCAAGGGCATGTGCCTTGGTTACGGGCACATCCCCAGTAGGGGGTGTGCAGGAGGCGGCTGATTGATGTTTCTCTCGTTGATGTTTCTAACTCTCTATCTCTCTCTCCCTGCCTCTCTGTAAAAAAAATCAATAAAATATATTTTTAAATAAATAAATAAAATATAGAAAAGCTGGTTCAGATGCTGGTCCAGCCGCTGGAAAACCCTGTGCATCTGCAGCGTGCCTGCCCTGCGTCCCTAAAGACCAGGAAAAGCTGTGCGGGCCATGCATCGTGGAAGCCGAATAACCAACTGCTGAGAGCCCAAGAGGGTGCAAAGGAGGGCCCGGGGGGGGGGGGGGGGGGGGGGGGGGGGGTGTCGGCATGACCGTCAGCACCACAGCCCTCCTCCGTCAGCACCACCTGCCCCCGGGACTCCCAGGGTCTCCCCAAGCCCAGACGCACCCACCACAAACGGGGCACAACATGATGTGAAATGGCGCCCAGAGTATGTCCATGCCTCGGCCATGCCAGCTTGTTTCTCTGACAAACACCACCGCACAGGGCTTAGGAGCTTCGCGTTCAAGTTGCTGGTCACAGGCAAAAGCTGTGTGTTGAAGGACAGTGCTCCCCGGAACGCCCCCATGTCTCCACACAAACACACACACACACACACACACACACACACACGAGGAAAGAAAACCCGGCCCCTCCGGCATTCTCCTGCTCACGGGAAGGCCGGCCTGGGATGCAGAGGGAATGAAGCCAGGAAGGGGACAGACGCCTGTACTGAGAGCAGTGGTTCCAACCTTTTTAAAAATATATATATTTTATTGATTTTTTTTTTTTTTTTTACAGAGAGGAAGGGAGAGGGATAGAGAGTCGGAAACATCGATGGGAGAGAAACATCCATCAGCTGCCTCCTGCACACCCCCTTACGGGGGATGTGCATGCAACCAAAGCACATGCCCTTGACCGGAATGGAACCTGGGACCCTTCAGTTCGCAGGCCGATGCTCTATCCACTGAGCCACACCGTGTAGGATGGTTCCCAAGTTTTTTTGGCCACGCCCCACCTAAGCATCTCTGAATCCTGATGCCCACCGCCCCGCCATGGCACAGAATTCATAGAATTCCCATTATCCCAACAGTGAGCTCCTGTTCACATGGAGGAAGCCTAGAAGGCCATGGACTCCATCTAAACAAGCTTCCAGAGAACGTGGCGGCCACGAGAGAGAAAAATCAAAGAACGAAAGGACAGCGGAAGTACTGAGGAAGAAATCACCAAGAAATTGTTAAAAATAATAATAATAATAATAATAATAACAATAATATGAAGTGATATGCAAAGATAGCAAATAAAGTTTCAAAACATATAATAGAGAACTGACATGCATAAGTATGTTGCAATATATATTTATACACTATATATGAGGCCCCTAGTACAGTTAAGAAATGTAAGAAATGCACTGTTCGTAACTCCTTCTCGAATTGTCCCCCCTTAAAAATCAAACTGTCCCCCTGCGAACCACTGACTGAGACAGGCCAACTCCCAACGTAAACCGAAAACTGACGCGCAGCTTCAAAACCCCGGGTTCTGCTCCCGGAAGCACCTTGCCCACATCTGGCGTCGCAGGCTCCCCCAGTCTCGTTGGAAACGGGTCGGCGTCTGTCAGCTCAGTCTGCACCGCGTTGGTGTGGGCAGCAGCGACCGTGTGGCAATGCCCCCACCACCCACCCCTCTCACAGGACTGGGAACAGGAAAAGATGCTAGAACATTACCTCCTCTCTCTTGTGAAGGCACAAATCCCCCTTTATTATTCCTTTGTGTACGGACAGCTAACAAGAAGAAGAAGAAAAGCTAATATTAATTTTAGATAAGAATGTCCAAAGTTTTCGAGCACCCGCTTATGAGACAGGATCTATGCCATGCAAGCATAACAGGTCACCTTTTATTTATTTTTTTAAATATATTTTATCGATTTTTCACAGAGAGGAAGGGAGAGGGACAGAGAGCCAGAAACATCGATGAGAGAGAATCATCGATGAGAGGGACAGAGAGCCAGAAACATCGATGAGAGAGAATCATCGATCAGCTGCCTCCTGCACACTCCCCACCGGGGATGTGCCCGAAACCAATGCACACACCCTTGACCGGAATCGAACCCGGGACCCCCCCAGTCCACAGACTGACACTCTATCCACTGAGCCGAACTGGTTCTGGCATCAGGTCGCCTTTGAGAATACCGCCCACGTTATGGGTCAATACTGACATCTCCCACCGATGATTAATTTCTCCCCACAGGCTGGCATTGCACAGGGATCTTAGCTCTTCCTGCAAATAAAATAGCTGACTGTTTTAGATTAAAATGTTAACAAGCTTTTTCTTTAAAACAAAGCAGGAGGGGTGGGTAGGGGGAAGTTATTTATGCTCACGCGGACAGGCAGGCCCCGACATTACCCATGCAACGTTACACACTCATTTTCAAAAAGTTTAGCTTAAAGACGGAGCATCAGATCAAATCGCCAGGTACGCATCAGCATGAAATAGCGGGCCCATGTGAAATCATGTACCACAATTCTACCCTGGATTAAAAATAAATAAATAAAGTGATTGTCAAGTGTCAAAAAAAAAGAGGGGGGAAAATGAAAGGTTAAGTGTAGCTGGAATTGTCTTTTCTTACACAATTCAAAAAAATAGAATACCCATTTACTCAATGCAGTGTCACGTCCAAACGTCACTGACTCAGACTGCAGCCAGGATTACCCAACGGGAGCAGCTGTAAACCTTTCTTTAAAAACTATTTCTTATTTACCAACCACGAGGGTGCACAGCGTCTCCTGTCTCGGACAGAACCGTCATCTCGATGGCACAGTTAACTCTCCCATTATGTGACACCGTGGACTGGTTTATTTGGCGGAGTTTTGCCCGAAGGAGCTGCCAGGCCGAGGCCAGCACAGCAGAGGTTAAACCCAGGAATGTGACAGTTCTCCTGGCGATAAGGTGGTGGAGCAGCCTGCCCAGGCTCTGAATGACTGGGAGAGAACTGAAAATCCTCAGGAACAGTCCCAGCGGTGAATAAACTCTGCCCTCTGTGAGGCTGCCCTGGGGAGAGTAAAAAGCGGGTGTTTTGGGTACTCACGCTGAAAGTTTTTTTTGAACTACAAAAGCTACAGAAAGAAGCGTGAGTGTGAAATCTGTGGCACATATGGGTATGTTTGTTTTGGGGTTGTTTTTTTTTTTTTTTTTTGGAAGGATAAACGAAATGTTTATACCAACCACAAGTTGTTTAAAATTCGCGTTTGCATTAAAATGCTTTACCCGTTGCACTGGGCAGCGTAGTCTGCTATTCATAATAGGATACAAATCTTAGGCTTAAAACATTAACGATAACACCATGCATTGCCTTCGGTAAGACATCTACACATTCATAATCTGGTAGACGGATTTCTGACAGCAGCCAGAGCCACTAGCTGATCTAAACGTCTGTCCCATGTTGAACATGCCAATGTTCTCTCACCAAGGAGGGGCGCTGGGAGCGCAGGCAGGACTGCGGAGGGTCAGAGGCGGACAGACAGACAGACAGGCCGGCGGGGGCGCGGAGGGGCGCGGGCGGAGACCCGGTGCAGGGGTGCAGGAGCCCAGGGCCGGCCCCGCCGTGGGAGGCGGCTGCACGCGCCGCAGGACCGCCGGGCAGTGACCAGCGAGCCCACCTCTGGCCTCCCTTCCCGCCGGCCGCGGTCTCCACACCCGACAGAACAAACAGCCTCCCGCTCGGCGCCCCGAGGAGCCCCGCGGGGCGCCCGCTCCCCCCCAGGCGCCCCGCCACGCGCCTCTCCCCGGACCGGCCCGCGCCGCGCCCACCTGCCCGGAGCCGCCGTCGGAAGAGCCGGACCGAGACCGGAGGCCCGGAGCGCGGGACTTACCGGGACGGGGCGCCGCCGTCGGGGAGGGCGTGCCCGCACGTGTGCGTCCGCGCGTGTCCGCGCCGCGTGTGCCCGCGCCCGGCCGGGCGCCTCCGCTCAGCCCGCGGCGTGGGCGCCGCTCCGAGGCTCCCGCTCCGCCAATCGCCGCGCAGGCGGCCGCCGACCGAGGCCCGCGGTCCCGGAGGCGGCGGGGCGGGGCGCGGGGGGCGCGTGTCCCGGGCGCGCGGGGCGGGGCGGGGGCGCCGGGGGGCGCGGGGCAGGGGCGCGGGGGCCCACCCGCTGCTCCGGTGGAGCGCGGAGCTGGCCTCTCCGAGGAGGAGGAGGAGGAGGAGGAGGAGGAGGAGGAGGAGGAGGAGGAGGAGGAGGGGGGCGGGGAAGCGGAGCTGGGAGGACCGGGCACCCGCCGAGGCCGGCCGGGCGGAGGAGCCGGACGCGCCTCCGGGAGCGGGAGGAGCGCACCGCCGGGCGGGGCGGGAGGGAGGCCGGGATGGAGGGGCGCGGAGGGGCCGGGGCCGGGCGGCTCCGCTCGGCGGCTTTCAGGGAGAAGGAATGTCCCCCAGGCTCAGCCGGTACCCTTACCACAAGGAAATAACGGAAGTTAGCACGGGCTGCCGCAAAGTTTACAATGACCGCCGGCCGCCCGGGATGGGTGAGCACGGAATTCAGACCACGTAGCCCGGGAAGGGGCGCGCCGCCCGGGTGCCCGGTTTGGGGGATCCCGCAGCCGAGGTCGGAGGGGATCCAGGAGGAGCGGGGGCCCCCGGAGGAGCGGGATGCTGCGGGTCGCGAGGGATGCGGAAGGGACACCACGGCCCGGCCCGCCGGGCGCGGTGACAGCTGCCCCGGGACCATCGTGTCCCCGAGAAACAGCCCCCAAAGGTGCAGCCTCCGCCGGGTCCGGCTCTCCGGCCCCGGGCGGGGCACCGGACTAAGCCCCTCCAGGTGTTTGCATTAAAAAAAAATGAATGCCGACATCCAAACCGCGCTCACCTGCGTGCCTGCCGCTCCTCCTTCACGCCTGTCCCTCAGGGACCATCGCGACCGAGCGACCGTCCTCCCTGCACGCATGGCCCGGACCCCATCCCAGCGCGTCCTCCGGCACAGGCTGCCTGGCGGACCCAGGGAGAGCTGCTCATGTCCCTCCCTCTCCCAACTTTCACAGCCAAGACTGCCAGCAAACAGCCAGAAGGAAAGCTAAGTTCCCCCCACCCGCCCACCCCAAGGGAAAGGAGGGAATATAAGCACCCCTTTAATTTGAAAAATAATAATTAAAACCCCCTCTCAACCTTTAAGGCCCTGGCAACACAATCTATTAATTGGCCGCTATTAACATGCCGTTTTATTGACCGTCGCACACAGAAGTCTGATTGTGAAGGAGGAGTGTTTTCAATGAGAGCGGAGTTATTTTAGCTGCAGACGTGTTTACATTTCTGTGGTTTAGTCTATAACTTTCTCTTTTTCTTGCTTCAGGATCCTGCTCCATGAAGCAAAGCCCTTAGCTCCCAGACATTCCAAAAAGTCTGCCAAAATAATAGAAAAAAAAGAGAGTGAGGGGGGAGAGAAAAAACACACAGAGACCCCCAAGTCTGGGTCAGGCGCGGGGTTGTGAGTGGGCATCTTAGGTATGCCCCCTTCCCACAAGCTTTCCAGATTTAAAAAAAAAAAAAAAAAAAAAAGCCTTCAGGGCTCCATTTCCTGTTTGCTTGGGGGCAAAATAAAATGGGTCTGAAAGGCTGAGCCTAGACTTCGCCTCTTCCAGGACCTATAGATTCCGGGAGGGCCTTTAACCCTGGAAATGCCAACATAGGCTCATTTTCTTTGAGAATCGACCATTACAGACGCTCCAGGGACGTGCTTCCCTTTTAAACAGACAACCTTCGTGAAAAACTGCAGATGCATGGCCGGGAAACTTCTTGAGCAAACAGGCACACCTGGCAGGTGGGAGAGAAGCCCGCCTCTTCGAGGGGGGCCGAGAGTTGAGAGAATAAAAATAAAATATCGGAAACCAGAGCCGCATCCTTTTCTTGCCACGGTTATAAGACAAGAGGCAGAAGGCACGCTAAAAGGGGCATGGCCACGGGGTCCTGCCGGTGTATATAGGATGTATATAGGATGTATGTAGGATGTATATAGGATGTATATGGTCCGTGCTAGAGTCCTCCTAGGCAAACCTGGCTGATCCTCTAGGCCAGCTCCCCAGCCCACAGAAGTCACATTGTTGCCGTTCACCTGGTCTTCTCTTCAAAACATGTTCAACCTGCCTCCTGCCCTGGACCAGCAGCTGCATATTTTGGTTCCTTTTTCTCTCTAATTATTCTCCAAATATTTCAGGTCTAAGAAGTCTCGCTGCATTCTGAAATTTTCTTCTTAGCCGCTCATTTCCAAACCTCCCCGCCGGGAGCCCTTCACATTCTGGGGCGTGCTTGAAAGTGAGCAGATAGATCCTCAACCTGCCTGCGGGCAGCGGCTGCTTTAGGACACTGCATTTCTCCATGTTTCCCCGTTATTGTCACCGGTGCCTAATCCTATATCATAAAGAGCTGGTGTGCCGAAGCCAGTTTGGCTCGGTGGTAGAGCGTCGGTCTGCGGACTGAAGGGTCCCGGGTTCGATTCCGGTCAGGGGCATGTGCATTGGTTGCGGGCACATCCCCGGTGGGGGGTGTGCAGGAGGCAGCTGGTCGATGTTTCTCTCTCATCGATGTTTCTAGCTCTCTATCTCTCTCTCCCTTCCTCTCTGTAAAAAAATCAATAAAATATATTTAAGAAAAAAAAGAGAGAGAGAGAGAGAGCTGGTGTGCTGATTAGACCGAACAGCAGAATGACTGTCCAAATGGCCTTCCAACCGAACCCGGGGCTGGAGGGCGAGCCCCTTGCCGGAATCTCATGCATTGGGCCTCTGATATTATAATAATAGAGAACAGGACTGAAAAATGATACTGTGGGCCAGCCGACAAAGAGCATGTTTTATGCATCAAACGCTGCACTTTAATAATAAAAAGAACATGATTTTAACCATCCAAGTTACCACAGTGGGGGGGGGGGGGGGGGGGGCGCCAAGGGAGAAATATGTCCAGAAAAAAATACAATATTTGAAACAACGTCCGTGCTACCTCTTCCCCCAAAAAACACCACGAGAGATAGAGAGATGATAGATGAGAGAGCCGGAATTTTTTAAAGGCGTACACTGAGGCCACTCACAAAGCGGGGGTCGTTGACTTTGAAAAACCCCAGAGTTTCGCAGAGTTAGGACATCATCTCCAATGGACCGTATCTTGTAGTTGAAGCTGGGAAGTTCTTTCTGTTGTCTAGTCTAACCCCCACCCACTACCACAGCATTCCCTCCGTCGGGGGCACGGTCAAGGTCAAACATAGGAAGTCCATTTCAACGAGCTAAATGGACTGAGTTCATCGGAGAGGCCAGCAGGACATAAAAGTAACGGAGACGCGTTCCCTGTCTGTTTCGCAGGACAAATATGAGACACGGTCATTCTAAGTTCATCAAAATTTCACTTAAAAGGAAGGGTTTTGATAAACATAGCACTTGACACACTTTCACGAATTAGCATTTTTAAGTATCTCGTCCATGAGATAATCGTCCTTCTCCATAAGGCTTTTGTGGTTGGCTTAATTCTCTTTGAAACCCCTTTCATCCAAAAGATGTTTTGGATTAATTTAAGTATTTGTTACTGGATAATGTCAAGTTCTCCTTCAATGAAATGTCCCGCATTGGTTTGTCACACCTGTTAAATATAAGCCTCCTTTCCTTTTGATATCCCGAGAAGGGCCTTAAAAGGTTTACATCCTTCAATATGGAGATTTAATTGCTTTACCTATAATAAAAAATAATCCCTATAAAATTCAGATTGTGGCTATTTCAAAGCCGAAAAGAGCTATTGGATGGGGATGTAAAGGTTGCAGTTCAAAAAGCCTTCCCCTTTTAATATCGCGGGCACGGAGTTATGAGTTTCAAACTCCTGGTTATCATTTTGTGAAGCCTGGTCTTTGTTGTCCCTGCCCGGAGTCTGCGAGCCGTCTTTACGGCGCGGCGGTCGGGGCTGCGTGTGCGCCTGTGAGACTCGGAGAGGGCGCCTGTCCCGGCAGTAAGGGCTCACCCGGAGGAAGTCCCCGGTTCTGTTTTAAATGAGGACCCGGAGCGGGGTCCCCGCACTGACACGTCCACATCCTCCCGAGTTCAAGTGCGGCCGAGGCCCTTGGGGAGGACAGCGTGGCTTGGGAGAGGAGACAGCCGGCAGGCCTCGGCCACTGGTCATGGTTCATGCCCCGTGTGCCCTTCCGCATTCCTCCGGGCACCCTGAGCCCGTCACCCCACAGCCTGACTCCGTCCCGGACCTTCTTTCCATCGAGGAGTGTGTGGGGGGAGGGAAAGGGGAGGGGGGGGGGCGGAGGATCTTCTGGCAATCCAAGATCCACCTGGCTTCTGGGCAATCCAAGGCAGGGAACGGAGAGCTCAGCCAGTGTGGCTCAGGGGTTGAGCTTCGACCTATGAACCAGGAGGTCGCGATTCAATGCCTGGTCAGGGCACGTGCCTGGGTTGTGGACTCAGTCCCCAGTGGGAGACATGCAGGAGGCAGCCCATGAATGATCCTCTCCCATCATTGATGTTTCTCTCTCCCTCTCCCTCTCTCTGAAATCATTAAAAAATATATTTTTTTAAAAGGGGAGGGGGGGAATATATATCAGGACTCTGGCCTTGGGGTTCTAACCACAGCATCCCTGGGTCCCCCTCTCCACACCACCATACTCATCCCGTTCCTGGACTTCTGTCCTTCGCTGTTAGTGAACACGAAAGGGTCACACTCCAGTGGAAGAGTCAGGGACCTACTACACAAGCATTGCTGTTATCTTTTACTAGAGGCCCCGTGCACGAAATTTGTGCAAGAGTAAGCCTTCCTTCCCCCACTGCTGACACCGGCTTCCCTCTGGCACCTGGGACCTGGGCCTCCCTTGCAGCCAGGGCTTCACCCGGAAGGTCGTCCGGAAGGACATCTGGAAGGACGTCCAGTCTAATTAGCATATTGTGCTTTTATTATTACAGATTATCAGCTGCTCAGAAGTTTGTTTTCTGTGTCCTCTACCCTCCAGACCGACTCTCCCTCTCCGCAGCCCTCTTCCATACACGTCACAAGCAGTTGGTCTCCAGTACACACAGCAGTTCTTAATAAGGCGTGCTGACCACAAACTGCTCCGTAAAATTGCATCATGCGTAATTCCTATCAACTCGCATGACTCGCAAAATAGGTTGATAAGAAACACATTGTTCTTCTGTCAGGGAGCGCTGGTGACAAAGGTTGTACAAATGCATCGGGAGGCGGTGTGTGTGTTCCGCAAATGGAATTACATGCAGCCCTCCGGGAGGCTTGCGCCGGCCCCTCCGGTGGCCGTGTGTAGGCGGTTTGCGTTGGGGCCGCATGCACGATGACACAATCTATCAGTGAACAACTCCGCCGGGTGCGTTCTCCCCGACCGGATGGCTCGCGAGCGCAAAAACAGTTGCCTTTTCAGACAACGGAGACAATTCCATCTCCATGATTTTCGAACCGATGAAGAGCATGGATGCAAATAAAATCGATATCTTCATGACTTCCTTTTAAATAAAAAACCATTATCTTACGATTATGGGCGACTTGGTATAATTCTAATGGGTGAAGCGTCTACTTCAGAGAGAATGCACAGACCACGGGTAGGAATGCGAGCAGGAGTCCAGCACGTATCAGCCACATGACCTTGGCCAAGTCACAGCCTTTTGATTAAAGCCTCGGTTTTATATATAATTGTATCCATTTCAGAGAGAGGGCGGTAAAAAAGGATAGAAACATCCATGGTGAGAGAGAATCATTGATGGGCTGCCTCCTGCACGCCCCCTACTGGTGACTGAGCCCTCCATCTGGGCCTGTGTCCTGACCAGGAATCAAACCGTAACCTCCTGGTTCACAGGTGACACTCAACCACTGGCGGGATGAAGCCTCAGTGTTCTTATCTGTTAACTGGGGCTGGCGGAGTAGATCACCTGATGCTAAACAGAACCTCCCAGAGGACAACCTGGGAATCCACTTCACAGCCATACTCTCGGCGTGGGGACCAGCTGCGTGACTACTGGGTAGCCTGTTAGAAACCTCTCCTCTGCCGTAAGCCCAAAGGCACACACCTCCTGATTCTCTCAGGACTCAGGCAGCACGAACAGAGCCTGCCGGCCGGGTTCCCTCCCGTTTGGGCCCCATGTCCACCCAGTGTTGGGGTGAGCTGTAGTCACACCCCAGTGATCAGAGCCCTGCCCTGCATCCAATCACCTTGGCAGCGTCGAAGATAACACTGACACCCGGGCCCCACCTCAGACTGAGCGAGTCAGACTCTCGGGGACTGCAGAACCGGGGTTCGATACGGATGTCTGTGACTCCGCAGGTGGTGGGGAGGGACATCCACAGCTGAGGCTCAGAGCTGTTGAAAAGACAGCCAGTCAATGAATAACGAAGGAAGTCCAGAATCTTCGAATGAGCTCATTCTAGAAAAGATAAACTCCATCACCCCGAACAGCTGCCTCACCAGGGTTCCCGGTCTCTCTGGTTAGCGTCACTTTCTGCTCC